GCTTCTGTGCAAGCAGGAGCTCCTGCTGGGTCTGAGTCGAGGCAGCTCAAAGGGGAAGCTGCTGCCACCCCTGTGCTCTAACCACGCTACTTAGTACTGTGTTTCATTTAGATGAAGCAGCTTTTTCATTATGGAACACATCTACTTTTCCAAAGTAGCTTTAATTCTATTTGGGGGCTTTAAGGTACTTCATTCAATTCAGCCCTTCCGCTCATTCATATGCAGTGATCCAGTATTAAAAATGTCAAAGTGAATGAAGTCACTAATATTAAAACAAGATCCAAATGTATGTAAAAACTGGATGAAAAGCCTTCTAACACTGAATACCTCTCAACTCTCTTACAGTTCCAGTCCTGTCTAGTTGGGTGAAAGACTTGATCTCTTCCTTGCCTTTCTACCTCAGTATCACCACCAAAAGACTGAACCCGAACAACGTTTTTTGCTCACTTTCTAATGGCCTTTTGATTGGGAATCATTAAGGGTGACTTGGAAATGGTTTAACAGCACATGTTCTTATCCCGTCTTCCCTTTGAACTTCTACCAGATATTATTTTGCAGCTGTTTTATTGTAAGGAGCATCTTGAATTCTTAACAAAAAGTGTCTTAATGGCAATTTCAACAGATTTTTAATTTCCTGAGAGAATTCTGTAGGGCTACAAAGGAGAGTACATCTAAAATGCAATGCTATAAAAGGAACGTTTCCAKCTTTCAAGTTTGGATTTCTCAGGGAGTCAGTAACTTCTGAATGGGCCGTGGGATCCCCGCTCTTTAATGAGTGGGTCCACTTATTAGTGAAACTGTTATCTTGACCATGAAATGAAGGATACCACATAGAAATATGAACATGTCAGCAAGTCTCTGCCACCGAATTCTTCTTAATTAATGAGTGCAATTCTSAATTACAAAGCTCCTCTCTGCGAATTGCATCAACTGTGGCAACTGTTGCTGCAAGCACCAGTCCTGGTCAGATCACCCCATCTGCCCTCCAGAGCTGGTAGGACCCTTCCCCACATGTATTTGAACACAAATTTCATTCAAGTTCCAGAACTCTACTGAACAAGTCTCATTTGTGTTAAAAATGCAGGATTGAACCCTTGTAATCTTTATTCTAAAATGAACTTATCTGTACAGTGCCAAGGAGTTTAATTTTTTTTTAAAGGTAAAAAAGTAGTTTCACCGGGTTTAAGTTCATTTGTTATAGCTGATCGCACATAATTGAAAATCTAGTAGTATCTGCATTGCTGACTACATTAATAAGCCACTCTATTTTCTTCCTGTTTTGAAGTACTCCCGAGCCTCTGCTAATATTGCTTGACCTTTATTAAAGACCAAGCATTAGTTGGCAATTAGGCTTGGTGATCCCTTTGGTGATTGAGACGCGGTGATTTACTGTAAATTCTAAATAGTTCCAATGTTTCATTAGGTTTATTCTTTATACAAGCTCTGTGGCCAGGTAAGCACTGCCATGACATTCACTGTTAAAYGATCTCATTAAACTTCTTAATTTAAGTGGCGCAACACTTCACCTGCCACATTATCCAAGGACTCCTGCAACGCACATTAAACATTCAGCATCAATAGATGTTCAACCATCGTTCACCTTGTTGGGAGTGAAATTTCAGTCCCTGAACATACGGTTGACTACCTGATGCTGTTTGACGGAGACAATAAATAATGCAAATAGGTACTTGTGTAAAATAAGAGGTTAAAGACATCAGTAGGTTTGGCACAGAGTTTGCAAAGAGGCTGTAAACAGAAAAGGCTTAAAACTATGAGAAGATGCCAGTAAAATTCAAGAAGTTAAGAAAAAAAGGAAGATTTTTTTTTTCATTTCTTTATGAATGTAACAATTGTGAGAGATACCTTGACAGCCCTAAAGGCAGAGTCGCTTTGTTTTTATTCACAGCCTTAGTGCTGCATAGAGGAAGCCTCCTCAGAGCAGCAGGAGGGTGGGCAGCASGAACCCTCGGGCTGCGCTGGGGAGCTTTGCCCTATCTGCCATGGCCGCTGCGGACACACAGTGGCCAAAGGGGCCGTGGGCTGACACACCAGATCATCCCTGCAGGCCAACAAATCCCCCCACGGCCTCACAACACAGCAAAACCCAGAACTTTGTTAGGGGCTTCTCGACGTGTGGATTGTGTTTGCCAGCGGGGATTCATGGCGTGGCAACACCTCGAAGCAGAGGGACTGCGACCACCGCTTTGCCGAAAGCAGAGACTCCGCCAAGGCTTCACGAACTTCACGGGATGAAAGCAGCAGCCCTTCAACCTTCCTCAGTGGTGCCCCATGCTTCATTTTACACCTTTTTTTCATTTTACACTCTGAACTGTCTCCATCCCCAAATGAACAGTTCAAATTTTTATCCTGCCTTTAATAGCACAACCCTTGACATCTGCTTCTGGAGGCTCCTTCTGAAGGATGAAGGGTTCTTAGTAATTGTAATGGAGCTTATGAACGTACCAGGCTGCTCTCCAGACAGATATGGGCTTCATCATATAGCATTAACCCCGCATCCCAAATGTGTTTTTCTGACTTATAAGACTGGATTAGTTTTTATTATCAGAAGAGAAGCCATAAAGGTTTCCATGTTACAGATGGAGTGGCAGATGGGAAGCGAAAGCTTAATGTGAAGCAGTCCTGGATAAAAACCATTAATCCATAAAATTCATATGTTCCTATGCAGGCAAACCTAGCAAAAACACTGCAATATGACTAACCAGTGTGAGATGTGTAAACTGCCTCTAGTGCATTATCTGACAAATCATGGCATGATGGCTGAAAGAAGGGGGAAGAAAAAGCCCCAACCCCCCTATTTACTATTTCCTGGAAAAACAAGCAGCTCTCTCTGCGCTATGCAGGAAGCTAATGTCTTCCCAAAGAGCATAAAGAACATTAATTTATAGCAACTCCACTATGAAGCTGAAATGGACTCATATATATTTTTGATGAGATACCGTTTTACAGGGTTTATAGCGGCAGCATTACATATTCCAAAAATTTAATGGTACCCACAAGTCACTGTCATTAAAGTTGGAGCCTTAAAAAAAGGCTTTCTATTTTGTGTGGAAGTGCACCACGTTGCAGGGAAACGTTATTTTCACCAGTTCTGGTAACAGTGCGCTTGGGCAGAAGGGGAAGCAAGGACAGAGAAACCAAGATCTGTTTTTTTCCCAAATGAACGGTGCTTGTTTAGAGTATCAGCGATTATTAAGATACTAAAGAATGTTATTGTGTTATTTTGTGTTATATTTGTGTTATTCCAAAGCCATTAATACAGAGCAGACCCCAGTCTGCTCAAGAAACCCTGCGGTTACTTCTGGCCACGTCCATATGTGACTAGTCACCCTTGGCCTCACAGTGTAATGCACAGCTCGGGGTCACAGCCCCCGCGGCGTGGGAGGGTGTTCAGGGAGGACCCCTGACCGCAGCCAGACAAGCGGAGACGTGCGCTGGAACACGACGTATTTATGCTGCCCCTGCCCAGCGGGCATTCCAGCCGCTTATTCTTCATCCACTCCTGGAATTAAACTTCYTTGATTCAAATTCTTATCACCTACCGTTCCCTTTGGGCTTTGCATTTCTCTGCTGTTTATTACCAGCACAGCAATTCTCACTAGGAAAATGAATTATAGCAAATCACAAGCTAGCCCTTCCCCAAATTCAAGAGACACGCAGACTACTATGGATCCTCTTCTACAGCCACAGATAATATGTTAAAACTCCAGAGTTGCTTCCTTTTAAACACCCAAAGCGTCTGAATCAGATTCAACATGAAAAAACAGGAGTTCTTAACTCAAATCCCCATATTCTAACATCGATATAACCTCTCTGCCTACCATGTTCTTCCCTAATATTCTGCCCCTAATCTGCTGCATTTCTCTGGCAAATGCTTATAGAAAGGCACCAGCTATGAAGTCTTCCATCAGTTCACACAAAACCTTTCCCAAGGCAAAAACTCAGGTTGATTTCCATTTTCACTTCAGTGGCAGCAGCAAGGGCATGAAGGGACCCACAATTTGAGAGAGATCTCATGAAAACTGATCAGCAAAAGGCACTGAAAGCAACTAACTTTTTTTTTTTTTTCTGTTACTATTAGAAACAAATTACACCATCATTCATTAGACAATTACCCAAGAAAATTATTTCCCCTGTTCTCAATTCCTTTTAACATACGGGGAAATAGAAGTCACAAGGGGAATTTCCTCTTTCCCTCTTCTGCACAACTCTCATAGCCTAAGGGCAATGGTTTAACCACATCTGGATTTTTTTAAATGGACTATCTGCTTTTGCACAATGTAGTAAACCTTACTGAATGCAGCAGTGGGGCCTCAGTTATGTAATTCCAGAAAAAATACAATTTCACTTAGAATCGCAAGCCTTGGCATGTGATGGTGTATGAAGCTCTTTGCCTGATGTTATCTGAATAACAGATATAAAGGCAATGGCTGGTGTAGAAAATATAATTAACTCCTAGCAACATTTTTGTCTTCTATCATTATCCATTACAGAAAAAGTACCAAAAAGAAGGAAAAGGAAAAATTGTTATCACTGAATCTGTATTGACATCTTCAACAAGGTGTCAAATCAAACTGCTGAGCAGAGCTCTGTGAAGGAGAAGTCTCCATGTCTGGGCTTTGTGTGTTTAGCTGCTGTTAGCTGCTTCACTGCTACATTTCTCATCCCCTGTGGCAAACACCCTATGATGGAAATAACAGCTCAATGAAACAGCACCTTTTTCCTCAGTAAAAGTGAAGCATCAGTGTCCTGTCCTTCTTAGTCAAGCAATGCAGCAGTGTGGSGTAGAGTCAGGTATAAATAGTGTCTCTGTGGCAAAAGTGTGGATATCAGACATCAGACTTGACAAGAGGAGTCTTCTGCTCTAAGAAGAAACTGCCCCTCTGACCTCTGCCTCTTGAAGCACAGCACTGAGGCGTTATCCCTACATCATTATACACTGCAGGAGTAAAACGTGCATCTTATTAATGTATTCATCATACCTGATTGGGTAGTCAGCAGCACTGAGATTAATGAAGAAATCCCACGGCCAGTCATTCATTTCCATCAAGTCCCTCATGCTCTGCAGGTAGGTGGACAGAAGACTTGCTCCTCCCCAGATAGTTGCCATTCTCCAAGAAGTCACTCTCACATTTGGGTACTGGTTGGCAAACTGGAGCACTTGCCGATGTAAATAATTGGACCGCTTTGCAGGGAAGAAAAAGGTAACACAGTCAAGTTACTCTGTGCAGAATTGCTCCTCCCTGTATTGACTGCACTGCTGAATGCTGCCACTTCTAGGTCCATTCACTGCAAGCCGGGGCTCATGCTGCCTGCAGCATGCAGARGGCTCTGAGGATCACCTTGCTGAGCTTTTCCACTGCTTTGTCCTAGCAGTGGACAACCTCTTGCTAAGTGAACCCTCTGGAAGGCTGCAGAGCCCCTCTTTTATATTGTTTTTATTACTACCAGGATAATCACTATTCAATATAATTAACTCCTACTTATCATTTGTCATCAGTACATTCCAAAGGGCCTTATTAATGGAGCTGAYGAGTTACTATAACTCTCTTAAAGTGGGAAGTACTTTGTCCAAGACACTTCAGCTCTCCATCCGGCAGGCCACAACTGTCAGCCTACATCAGCCTACATCAGCTTATCAATTGCTATTGTCAAATGTACAATGGGCAGACACAGGTAGCTACTAGCAGACATATGAGGAGATTAAAGGCTGTAACAGAGAGAGGATAGTAAGAAAGAAAAAGCATACGTAACAGATGGAGAAACAAAAAGTGAAGTGTATCATAAGCAGCAGAGGCAAAGAGAAGATGGAGATGAGGACAAAGATGGGTATACTGACAGATGGCGAGACAGGCAATTCATAACCAGTGACATATTACCTTGTCAACATGAATGTAATAAAAATGGTCTTTATGGTAAATAGCCTTAAACATGCGTTGGAGCTGCCGGGAAGCTCTGCCGTGGACCACCAAGACAAACGCGATCCTCACGGGGTTGGCCGGCAGGTATTCCACAGAGTCCTCGTCCCACTGCACGTTGTTGTTCGCTTTTCCTGTTCGGAAACAAAGCACAGGGGATCTCTGAGCAACCTGCCGAGTGGGCATTCAGAAAGCAACGTGTGTTTAATCTAGGCTTGTTTTTCCAACTGACTGCTAAAGGCATGGAGTGCTCACGAAGTTGGAAATAAACAAATAAATTTTAAAAGGCCTTGTTTTATCCAAAGATCCCCACTTCCTCATTCCTGTGATGCGGATCCAGACAGCTCTGCTGAGAAACTGGATAAACTCAGACTTAACAGGAGCCAAGGAGTTATTACCTTGCTTACTATCTTGACTGATAGCTATCATGACTGCATCTATCTGCAATAGCAGACAGATCCTGGAAGGTTTAAAGGGAAACCTGCACAGCTTTGCTTCTCCAGGCATGACAGGGAGCCTTACAATCCTATTTACAATTTACTTTCAGTTTAATTCTAGCTCAAGGATTTCTCTTCTCCATTTTCTAAAGAAAACATAGCAATTTGATGTTATGACAGCAGGCACTGGTTAACTGAAGAGTTGGAGGGACATTTGTATTGAGRAATTCAAAGTGTTTTGCCTTTTGTGTAGCATCTTTTCAACTCAAAAATCTGAACTGGATGGAATAAAAATATCCCTTCATTCAAAAAGTGACACTTATTTTTCCATTCTTCAGCCCTCTGACCTTGTGAGGACTTCTCTCAGCAGAAATGATTTAGGAAGATACTTGACATTTTGAATGTAAGCAGAACAAGGTAAAAACCTGCCCCCAAAGCTGCAACCTCATATGAGACTGTTAACACAGCTTCTGTCCTAAGATTCCTGAGTTCTGAAAGGGCTGTGTGTAGACGAGAGGTCTCTGGCCTTGTCTCTGGAACAAGGCTCTCTATGAGCTATATAAGGGGCTAATGCAACTATGTGCCTGAGCAGGGACATTGTCCTTGGATGAGGAATACGAGGGAGCTGACCAGGCTCAAGTGGGTCCTGGAAAGGCCTTCTCCTCCCAGCAGACCCCCCAAGAACACCCTTCTCTAGCAGCTCTACCCCTTGTTTAGAGCAATTTCAGTACCCACAGTTGTATTAAGGCTCACAGGGAGCTCCTGGCACCTTGAATTGCTCTTAAAAGGGACGCCAACAACTTAAACAGCCTTTCTATAAAGACACATCCATCACTAACACAGAAGGACTTGGGATGAACAGCATTAAAAGATTAGAAATGACAAACTTTATATCTTTTATCATTTTCATCACGCAGCTGATCACTCCTGACAGGTTTGCTTAGGGCTCCTGTACAGTGGCCAGGACAGTAAGGAATGGGAAAGCAAGAAACTCTGCAACCGCAATTGCTGAAATACAGTTTTTCTTTTAAACTGCTTTGATGTTTTCTTTTTAAACTGCTGATGAAGGCCCGATGACAGACTGAAGTATTTTGGGTGGTTTTTATCACATTTTTGGATAACTCTTTTCTAAAATTAGTGGCTTTCTACAATGACATGTAAAAGGTGAGAGAGGAATTTTAAAACAGCTATACTGCAGGGCTTTTATTTTAAACTGCTTTCAGTACCCACACTGTCATTTACCTAACAATTACTGAGAACAAAATCCTACCAGATTTTCATCCAAAATGACACYTCACATCTTCAGGTTTCTGTAATAAATTCTTGAGGTAATTTATTCCCTCTTGGTGATTTTCCTACTCTGGGCTCGTTTCTCCCCATGAGTTCCCTCTTTGTTTCCCTTCTAAGTCCAGGTTTTTGTAGTACCATTCTCCACCTGCATACAGTTATAGCCTCCTTAGTCTAATCCTTTCCTTGGCTGCCTGGAATTTCATGMAGGTAACAAGGTTATATTTTTCCCACATGTCAGAAGAGCTGCTGCTTCCGCTGGATTCAGTCACTTCCCTATTTTGACTCTGCGGTTCATCAGCAACCTCTGTTTAGCAGACTCGTAATGAACCACACTGGTTTGCAAAGAAGACAAAACTGGCAGGAAACACAACCTGAGTATCTCTCCACTGTAAAATACGGCAGGACTTCATYCTCCAGTGTTGAAATTAGAGTTGTTTTAATCATACCAGCATTAAACTAGTGCTATCCATTGCACTGAGAGACAAGGCCTCTCCTGCAAGGCCTCCGTGCAATGAGGTGCCTGTCACGTAGCAGCGTGTCTCCTTTTGGGCGCTAGGCTACAGGACATAAAGACACTTTCCAAGTAACAACACAGCATATGATGGTGATAAAAACCTGTCTGGATTTGAAAGCAGCCCCTGTGTGTTGGATCGTGGCTCTGACTCTGTCACTGCATGCGATCGGCCACGTGCGCAGGAGGCTGCTGACATCGACCTCCGCTCCTGCTCACGTCAGTCTGTCAACAAGCAGCCAGCAAGATCCCTTTCCTCTCCCTGGTGCCAGCCAGTCCCTACCAGGCTCCCTGATCTCTCTCCTCCATCTCACCCATGGAGTTAGCAGCACTTTGCTGCTCTCCTGACATTCCCTGCAACTCAGGCCACCACCTCCGGCCACCTCCCTACAGGCCCTCATCTGTCCTTCCAAGACCTATCAAGGCCAGCACTGAATTTCCATCTTTTTTCTGATATTTATGGTAGTGTATCTCAATTAAAGTGCAGAGAGATGGCTCTGAGCCCCTTACAAAGAGCTTTTTCAAGCAGGTCAAACTCCAGATTTATGGAGTTTGTCCGGATTTATGGACCCAAAGCATCTTTTGGTAGGAAGTAGCACAGCTTAGATCAGGGCTAGGAGGACAGCACTAACCTATTTTGCATGGAACAGGAGTACCTCACTTCTGCAACTTTACATAGCCTTTATAGGCCCCAGGGAAATCAGGACTCAGAACCGAGGCATTAACCCTCAGCTGCTGCAGCACTGCTAAATGCCAGGATAATAAACAGAGCGCAATCACTGCCGTATTTGTTGTGGCGTCAGGTAGCATTATCACCCACCAATATCACTCCGCTCATCTGCTAATATTTTACTTCTGTTGCTAATTAACAATATCGTCAGGCTTCTCCGGCAGCACAAAGCAATCTTTTAATTAATTTTGTATGCCATATTAGTTTTTGTAAATTAATTCATTGATTTCTATTCCCAACTGGTATTGCTCTGTCTATTCACTGCAGCCTGCCCATGCACGGGCACCTGGGTGCTGCTGCTGCCACCCTTGTTGCAAACACCACTGCTGTGACACCGAAGGGTGTTTGAGAGAGGACGCCGGGGGAGYTGCTGCTCTGTGATTCTGCACACCACTCACTGTTAGCACGTCCAGAAATGAAATGAGAAGCGCTGCCGCTATACCTGCACCACAAGTCATCATCACACCAAAGGGCTCAGAAATCTGCGCTCCTTGCTTGAACCCACACAAGAGTCCCCATCATGACACTCCTGCAGCAGGAGATGGCTGAGCGGGAGCAGCCAAACTCAGATTTCCCTATGAATTCCTTCTCCGAAATGGCTTGCAACTCGCAACAAGGAAAAGGAAGCTCATGCTCACTGGGAGATGGTCAGCAGCCTTCCTGCACCTTGGGGAGTCAGCAATGCTGGTGGTATTTAGCACCTTGGGGAACCAACACCTGCACAGACAACCTGGAACAAGCACATTCACAGGAGGGCCAAATTTCACCTCCAGCAGCAAAGAAAGCCACGTTGTTCCCGATGRAAACAACTCACGTGAACGGTCTTAAATGTGGCTTCTCTTTGTGGGTTTTATCTCACTCAGCAAGGAAAAAGAGGTGAAATCAGCTGAGCAGATCTGTGCAGCTGTCCCTGGGGCACAGGGATTTGCAAGGAATGCTTATGCTTGGCAGAACTAAATGCTCCTGGATATGTTCTGCAGATTCACTCAAAATTGCTGCTACCTGTCCTTTCATTCTGCGGGTTTATAATAAGCACTTCGGATAAAACTTCAGAAATTACGCTGCTATTGAAGAGCAGATAATCAGTTTTTTGCAGTAATGTTTTATCTCAACAATACTGCTCTAGTGTTCTTCTTTTTTTATTCTCAGACTCCACTACGAATTGCAGAAGCAGTTTATCAGCCTCTGTAACTTCTGACGATCAAGCAACCCATAAGCAAAAATCCATGCAGGGTAGGTGGAAGCAGCGAGATACAATTTGTGAACGCTTGGATCACGAGTCCTTCTACCATCAGAGGGAGATTTCCACGACATTCCTCCCGCGGAGCAGAAGCCCAGCTCGGGCCAGGGGCTGCAGACGCAGCGCTCGGCATCTGCTTTAGTCAGGGCAGGAGAGGAGAGCAGGAATGCAGGGCGGCCGGCAGAGCAGAGTCACAGCCCGGCGGCGGGGCTATTCATTTGAGGAGATTTCCTGAAAGTTTCTACACAGCGGATTTGAAGACTACTAAGCAGTTCCATATTCCTGCAGAATTTCAATACAGCAAAGGAAAAACACTGTAGTGGCAGATGGGGTTTGAGCTCCTCTTTAAGCCTCGTGGCAGAGGATTTCTTCCTTTTCTACAAACAAAAAGTCAGTGTGAAAAAAGCACGGGAGGAAGACAGAGGATGTGAATAGAACTTTTCCATATTCACAGTGGGCTCAAAAGAAGATAAATGGTTTCTATTCTTTTCCAGAAACCAAGATCTTTCATTCTAGAATTTGAATACACTTCTCTCCCTGTTTTCTCATCCCTCTTTTACAGTCACTTAACGTGTGCTGCACGTAGCAGACCCATGCAGGAACCCTCATCCCAGCAGTGTACRTGGTGTCTGTTAAGCACACACTGCAAGACACTCTGCACCCAAAAACCTGGTGGACATTTTGCAGGTGGTTGGATTTAATGCAAATGAGGAACTCCAGGAACCTTCAGAACTAGGCTTTCTTTCTAGGCTTTGCAGCACGAAATCCATGAAAGCTCTTGGAAACACATCTTAGTACAGAGCTTGCAGTTACAAACACTTGCACGCACACGGCACACGCACACGGCAGCAAGGCGCTTCTATCAGTCAGCCTCAAACCCAAGCAGGTAGCATTTGGCCATGAAGCAATTTGCCTCGCTCCAAACA